CTTTATTAACCAACATTTACTGGCTTCCAGGGTATTTTAAAGATAAGATGAAGGATTAAGTGTATTCTAATATAATCATCAGTAATCTGACAAAATCACTTATCAAGTACCCCTACAGGTTCCAACAATGCCAGTTTAGTGATGGTCAGTGGAAAAGAGATACAGTCCCTCTTTGCCACCCACCCACTTTTTTTTTTTTACATTAAAAACCTTCCCCTTTCCCCTCTTCTGAGTTCAATAAGCTTGCATACCAAATTAAAAATGGAAACATACTGACCAGGTGTAATAAATAAACTCTTCCGAATATATACATATATGTGGGAGGACCTTTCAGGTAAGAAGTTTGAACTATATTCCTTGATCATAGAATAAGTTAAGTGCCTTTCATGAATTAAAAATAAAAATCACAACAGAAAGGAAAAAAAGGAGACATGAAAGTAAAAAGAGAAAGCTGAGAGGAAACATCATTAACCTCAGAAGTTGACACTTGTTAAATTTGATATTTATGTAAGTGTCAGTGTTTCAGAGTTATGTTACACAAAGAAATAAAACAATGCTATTCAAGACAATAAAAAAAAATGCTGTGTGTGGTGTCTGTCTAGTGCATGCAGAATATACGGATGTTAACTGGAGTATAACAACTATGATCTTAATTTCAGATCAAGCAAAGAAAACAAATGAAGACACAGAGCAAAACATCAAGTCTGTACCAAATGAATAGCTGCTTACTATTTCAGGAACATTATGAAAATGTTCTTAAAATAAATGGAATTAAAATGATGTTTAAAAGATTAGTGGGATCTATTTTCTTTCTTTCACAGATGTGAGAGTTTATCAAATCCAGTTTTCTTTACTTAAATTACCATTTTTATAAATATGGATAACAATAAGAATTTATGTCACAGCTTGTCTTCTCACTCTAATGAGAGTGCTTCTTTTAACTCTTGAGGTCCCAAAGTCCAATGAAAAGTATAAGTAAAGAGATTTAGAAACCAAAATGACAATAGAAACCATTTCTTTAACTATTGCCAGTTATATTTTGTAAGGTTCTTAAATTTACACTGCCTTACAAAAAAAAAAAAAAAAATATTCCTGTATTGCTTTGAGAGGAGAAAAAAGTTTTAACTTCATCATAATCAAGACTAACAGTAAAAATGTTTTTTTTTCTTAGGTAATCATATCTTTGTTAAAATCTGATCATTACACTGACACAAACACCTGATCTATAATTAAAGATGATAGAATTAAATGCCAATTGTAGAAATATATCAGCTATTAATGATATGAAGTTAGTTACTGCAAAATAAATTCAGTGATTTTCTCAATCAATCAAAAGAGACACGAGGGGGAGAGAGCAAAGAAAATAATTGATCAACAGATTGTTTATTCTTTAAAAATATCTCTACATTTGATTATTTTAATAGCATTAACTTGTATTTTCAAAAGACCTACATTGAATAAATTATATGCAAAGAAAGAGTTAGCAATATCCACACATACAAACATGCACACAATTTAGTCAAAACTAGTTTGGTGAGCTATTCAAATGCTTCAGTGCATTTGAGAAAAAGAAGAAGAAAAAGCACGATTTATGATGAATATTAGTTAAAATGTAAGAATGAAGACAAAAATATAGTTTGAAATTAACAAGTGTCTATGACAATTTTTTTAATGCAAAAATAGAATTACAATGAGAGTAAATTTATGTCTTCATTTTTACATATCTTCTAACAAATAGAAAAACTAATAGCAAACACTAAACATTTGATCTGAACATAAACATCAACTTCAAAGTAAAAATGGATCAAAAACAGCCTTCCAACTGCCAGCAATTCAGATATGTTTTACCCAATGCTTTAATTCACTTGGTCATGTGCCTCTTAGACTATTCTATGGTGTCATTTGGCACTCTTAAACCAAATATCAGTAGTGGAATTTTTTAGTATCTTTCCTTTCTTATCCATTAATATACTGAAGATGATTCTGCTTGCAAAGCAAAAATTTTATCCTGCTACTGCAAGTGACTCAGATGAATGAATACTAGCATGTTTGAATTTTACAGTTGTGTTGTCATATCCTGCTATAGCAACAGAAAATGACCATGACTGAAATTAAGTAGTGCAGTAGAGGAGCCTCGAAAAACAATGCAGTGGAAAGGAAAGTAGTGAATAATGCAGAGCATTAAAAGTTAATAAAAAACTACCAGATAGTGTTCAGTCACTATGCTTTGTCTCCTGAGGAAATTATCAGAGCCTGACATATACACTGATTACTCTATCTTATTCTCTAGTGTTGTTCTCAGTTTGTTAGCTTGACCATTTCACAGGGATCATTTTTTACTGCCATACATGATCAGCTATGCCTGATTTCACTGTCTACATCTTTATCAATATTCCTCCTCTTCAATGTATTCTTTTAGAAGGTGGTTGGTCTTGCTTTTGTATTCCTTGCCACAACAGCATGGAATAGAATATACACAATCCTTGGTAATGTTCTCATCTGAAGCTTGATTTGTTGGAGATCTCTGAAGGATTAAATTGCTTTTGAATACCATCCTGAACTCTGAAATTTTATTCACTAATTATTATTATTTTTCCCTACTCTCCCAACAGGAGTAAATATATTCGCCTATCATCCACTTCACACTCCTTTATGGTTTATACTTCTAACTTCTCCACCTGAACTCTGAAATTTTATTCACTAATTATTTTCCTTTTCTCCTAATAGAAGCATAGAAGTTCACCTATTGTCTTGTTCACACTCTTCACTGGTTTTTTGAACAGGGATAGAGGTTTATACTGGGTTTCCTGTTTAGGACTAAGTTTCTAGTTCATTCTAAATTTTACTTCAATTTTAACATCCCTGACTGAACTAATTAAATCTTGACCTCTTTAAGTCTAGTGTTAGCCATTATCTTTCCTGTATAGTTCCAAGAACTTTAATTCTTGCGCTTTCTTATGTTCTTTGGAATTATAAATTTTATTAGAAATAAACCAATAGTTTTAGAGATAAGAAGTCATTAGACTTCTTTTTGTTTAAAATCTGTAAACAAATTAGATTCATTAGAGTAAAGAAATGTTATTATTTTGTGAAAGGAATATTAAACAAAGTAAGCAGAATTCACTTTATATCATCCCTTGATAGATGGTGCATGCAAGGGTGACTCCATCCAGTGGCGTAGCTAAAGGGGGCAAGGGGGGCGGACCGCCCCAGGTGCCAGTACAGGAGGGGTGACACAATGTCACCCCCAACAAAATTTTTCAACCAGGCTAAGGTGCCAAAAATAGTCTGAAAACAGTGGTGGAGACACAGGGTTTCGCAGGCAGGCATATGACCCCCCAGAAATAATTTATAACCCCCCAGTTTTGTCCCCCCATCAGAAATTTTCTAATAAATTGTCGGGAAATTTGTGAGTAGGAAAAATAGCAATGTTTTCAGCTTTCATTTTTTTTCAGTTACTACAATCTTGGTTACTAAGAAGAGACATTGTTGTAACATTTTATCGGATGATATGGTGTTTTAACTCTGCATCATTAATAACAACAAAGTGAAATACGAAGCCAAAAATGCAACAATTTCAGTCTTGCCTGTGTATCAATTCGCTGAGATACAATTTTCCATTGAGTGAGCGATATACTTTTGAGTATATCTACTAGTGTTGGGATGATTAATTGGAATCAAAAATCAGAAAAATTGGAACTTTTTGGGATATCGGAAAAACTTGTGCCTATTTTCCGATTCCAAAAACGATTCTTTTAAATTTTTAACTTAATTTTCCATTATTGGTACTAATGATAAATATTTATTGTTTTTAAATTATCACTAAAACTAAAATCATAATAACATCAAAATACAATGTAAATTTATTTTACTTGTATAAAGAAAAACAAAAAAATAAACTTTGCATAAATTCTCTAGGTAACTTTTAAAAGAATGCAGTTGATTTACAATGTTCCAAAAAATGCTTAAAAATTAAATAGAACATTTTTGTCAAGAAAAATACTTTCAAACATCATTGATAATTAAATGGTACCCAGAAAATGATACACCGGAAAATTAGCAACAGAAAATTATGTCAACCATGAGCCAGTCAAGACTGTCAGATCTGGCTGTGCTGTCCATTGAAAACGAGTTTACAAGACAAACAGATTTTGATGATGTCATTGACCAGTTTGCCACAATGAAAACAAGAAAACATTCATTCTAAGACCATAGTATCGAATATCATTCTTTTGTGTATTGCCATGTTTTGTATTTAGTTGTTCTGAAAGTGAACAGTTGCATTTTAAAAATCTTTTGATTTGAACCGATTATTTTGTGGTATTGGATTTTGTCTTGGATCATACATGTAAACAGTAACGTACTGGTCAGTAGAGTAAAGTAGAGGTAGAGCATGTATGAAAATTTAGCTACAGCTAACCATTCAGCATAGGGTGAATCGGGGTCATTGGGGTGACATTTGAGCAGACCGCCCCCGGGTGATATTTACTCTAGCTATGCCACTGGCTCCATCTAAGGTGGGGTCCCATAATCTCATTAGTCTAAGGGCCCCAAAAGGTCATAATCCAGCCCTGGTTAAATACATATATTTACTTCAAGTTATGTAAGAAATTAAAATCAATTTAAGTTGTAATTTTATTTATTTTACCCAAGCCATAAAAATATAACTGGTGCTGATTCAAAATTAAGAACAGAATTTTTAGACTGCAGGCAAGTATTTTATATAAAATAAATATTTTTACACTCCTTTAAAAAAAAGTAAAAAGAAGAAAACACTTAAATTAATTAATAATAAATTCTGTAATTAGAAATTATACAATAATCATTTAATGAATAAAAATATTTTTTTTTTTTTTACTTTTTTTAAGAAATCAATTCTACTTTCACAATATAGAAATAATTCTAAAAAGAAATAAAAAATACTCAAGTTATTAACTGCAAACAAATTTAGAAAAAGTAGAAATTAAATTCAACTGAAGTTTTCTTTTAATTGACCTTACCATAAAATATCCATAAATAACATAGAAGAAAAACACAGATCCACAGCAAAGTAAAAACTGTGCACCTCTCGGTAAAGATGTCAAATCAAAGCAGAGTATTTCCATTGATGTGTCTTTCAAAACATCTTCTGTTCCCTTAAAACTGTCAGTAGCCCCTGACTGAGAGGATTTTCGGGGTAAGTTAGGACCGTGGTTGTATATATCCACGGCGATGGAATCGTCTTTGGATTTGTAAGATCCATGGGGAATATGTTGATAATGTGGAGAGATGGACGAAACCGACGGGTCAGTTCTATAGTGGCCAGCATGCGACGTGTCCATCTTACTTCCAGCAACAAGGCTGTTACTATGAAGTTGCGTGTCACAAGGGCTACTATATTCTCTGTATCTGGACATGCTGAGGAGGAGAACAGGTTTTCACATCGGTGGGAGGACGAATTTAATCGAAACACCTGGTTGGTTAAGAAGAAGCGACATGTATTTATTTACAAGGTGAGCAAAAAGCTGAAAAACAAAAACGAAACATGAAAATACTTTTTCAGGGTAGGAAAATCACAGATGACAACACTAAAATTGCTTTTTATTATTATTTTCAAATTTAGTTGGGGTACACAGCTTCTAAACTAAAGATATGAAAGAAATCCCAGTGCTCAGACAAACTGGCGGTAAGAGATTTCTTTTTTTATGCTCGCTAGAAGACCAACAAAATTAAAGCATATTCGAGGATAAGCTAGATTTGAAACAAAAAAGAAAGAAATAGGTTTATTTGCAAATTAAAAGCAGTAAAATAAAAAAAATTAACTTTGTAAAATGTAAATCATTAACAAGGGTACTCATAAAATAGTAAAACTTAGATTTTTTTATTTTATTTTTGCTTATTTATCGCAACTTACACAGTTTACCAGTTACCTGTTTCTTGCAAGCAATTGAAATATACTTTTGAAAAAAGTTGCTTTTTTCTTAATGATCCGATATGCCATTACAATAATTTGGCAAAATTAATTTGTTTTTGTTTGAATGCCATTTTTTATTTTATTTTTATATCAATTGAAAAATAATTGCGAGTCAGTGATGTTACTCACTGTTACTACACGACCATACACTAGTACACGGTAACAAGAAATTTTATCAGTTTTTTTTACTCTTTAGTCATTTATTTTAGCATATTCTAAAATACTTGTAAGTTATCGATAACTTTTAGTTTCCAGTGTTGTCAGATGTAAACTTTTTTGGAGATTTCAGATTTTACAAGTACTAAATTTGTGCCCGTACGAAGTGGGATAACTCGACAACCGTTTACCGGGAACACTGCAAAGTGGCAGTAGGAAGGTTAGTTTACCTATATTCGTACGAGGTAAACATTTTAAACAAAGTACCACATGAATTTATGCATAGGAAACTTGGGATAGGTAGTCCCAAAATATTAGTTAATTCAAATTGGCACAATTTGGCTAGGGAAGTTTGTGTGAATTGAATATTAGAATTGTTTTGAGTTAAAAGAGAATGAATAAAAAGCCGATTGCGTAACGATAGTCATCAAGCTGTAGGATTTTTTTAAAAACATTTGCTGCTGCTTCGATGTCTAATGTGTTACTACTCATATTTCAAATATTGATGTATTGTAATTTAATAACAAACACGTTTCTATGAAATGCTTCTTTTTTTTGGTTGTAAGTAAAACAAACTGTGTAAAATAACAATAACAGACAAATGTTCTTTCCCCAAATTCCAAGAAAACTTAAGGTGGGGGTGGGTAGTAAAAAGCTTTTGGACAGAATGACTTACGGAATATGCAACTTAATTGTATAGGTAACTCCAAGAGATCGCTAAAAAAAGAGCATAGCATGATGAAAAATACGCCAAACTTGATGAAAACAAAATTTTATCGTCTAAATGAAGTAATAATCTAATCATGAACATAAAGCAAAAACCTATCAAACACGAAAAACATTGTGATAAATATTTACATTTTGAATTAACAAAAACGAAAGGAAAAAAAGTGGTCCAACAAAAAACTCCAGGAATCAGTCGCATTGAAGATTGAAGCAATCATATTGGATTGTATTTTTTATTTTTAAATTTACGTGCGTCAAACAAACTACTTCATCATCTATGCCACTGATTTTTTTAGAAAATGCGAAAAATATAATTAACTGGTAATAAAATGTTAACTTTTAAAATTAAAAAAAAACCACACAGCTATCGGAAATTTTGTCGAATACTTACCAAAAAACAGTTTTTACGGCACTTGTATAATTGGTTATATTTTCAAAAATAAATTGATTTGTTGTCTATTTTTGTAAATTATAATTTAACTTAAATAATTTAAATATGAAATATCTGAATTCATTAAAAAAAAAATCAGTTCAATTTGAAAGCTATTTTTAATTCCATTCAAATAATAAATTTAAAAACTGAACGAATTTTTACTAAAAAGAAAGACCGAATTCAAAATAATTACTTTTCCTTTTCCAATTTGTAGTAAATTTCAGAATTAAAAGATCATTCGGTTTAATTTTTTTTATTCAAATCAAGCAAATTTTATTTAAGCAATAACATAAAATATTTTTCTTTGCTTTCTTTTTAATCCTGAAAAATCTTACTTGCACAATAAAGAATTTATTTCCTTTTTTTTTTTTTTTTTAAAAAAAAAAAAAACGGTTTTTAGTTTTTAGCACTCTTTTTAAAACTGTTTTTAATCTATGTGATATCCTTTGTTTTTATATAAGTCGGCATTGCTATTTTTGTTGTAATTTTGGGAAGTAGGTAGTCGTATGCCGAAATTGCCTAAAAGAGGGCACCGTAAGAAAAAGTGCAAAGGTTGTCAAGTTGTTAGGGGCGGCTCCTTCTTTATACAACAAACGTAGGCGATGCTTTCTGCTTTTGTTTCGATTTCTACGCGATCAAACGTTACAGGTGTCATGTTCACGTCCAAAGGGGCTCCAAATAGTAAGAGAGAAAACTGATAATATGCTGCCAAAATTATCGATGGAATTTTGTATTTAAACCATGTGTATTATTTTGAAAGGCAGAAAGAACCGGATGTGATATTACGTCATAGTGTTATGCGCAGAACATCCCGTCATCATATTATGGGTAATTTAAATTACACATTAAGATTTAAGTAAAAGTTAGAGCCAGTTGTATTTGACTATAAAACTTAATTGTTTACAGTATATTTAAATACGTATGTTACGATAATTACTACCTATTTTGTTTTTACCTCTAGATTACGAAAGTATTTTTAAAAACAAACTACTGTGTAAGGTTATGTGTACACTATTTGTTATGACCATTTCATAAAATGGCATAACAACTATTTATTTACACATACTTGTCATGATCATGTACAATCATAATTTGTATATATACTCACAAAAGGACTAACTTTCACTTTACTTAATGAGGGATGGACTGACTTGCATATATAGTTTCAATTGAACTATCAAATATTTTAGTTTCTGGTTAAAGGATAAGAAGATTATTACAAAGGTAATCCTACTGATAACAAGGGTACACAAAATACCTGACTTTTATTTTATTTTTATGTTAAGGATATGTAACCACAATGTTATATTTAAGAATAAGTATTAGTCTGTGAGTAGACCTTATATAAGAATAATGTATAAAGTGCAATGACCACACACTTACCTGCTTGTAATCACTGCAATTATCTATAAAGGGATTGACAAGGGAAATTGTCAGTCACTCCTTATGTGAAACTTTTTTAATTATATATGTCTTATTAAAGCAACAGTAGGTTTTACATTATAGTGTTTCTGAAGAAAAATTTAATTCAGATTTTGTAAAATTAATGAATTAGATTCAAATTCCAGTGAGCACATTATTAAAGTATATTCTATTAATCAGTTTAGGACAAAATAAAAACTGCTTTTTATTGAAATATAAAAAATATCAGCATAAGATATCCTTATTGAGTGGATAACAATTTCAAATAAAATTTAATTAACTTATAATTTACAGAAAAAGATAAAAATTACACATTTAAAACATTTCAAATTATTTATCTGCAAAGTTTCAGTGTTTAAGCATTTATAATTGTTAAGTTATTGAAAATTTGATACTCTTCAAATAACAACACACTTTAGAATAGAGTCAAGCGTTTTTCTGTTAAATATTTGTGTGTAAGAGGTGTTATTGAGAAATCTTCCTGCATCTCATCTTTTCCTATTGTACAAAAACTGTCTTCATAAGAAACAATTTTTCTCAAAATTATCTCAAAAATTTCTTGATTATAAAATTTTTTTATTATTATTGTGAACAAGTTGAATATTTTTACAAGGCCAAGCATTCACCTCTTCAACTTTCTATGTCAAGGTTAGGTAAAAAATGAAAAACCTGGAGCTTGTTCAGAAAAAAAGATAATGATTGTCTCCAGATATGATATGCTCTTTTAATTCATAATAAGCAATGTTTTAATTCATCTTACAATGTTTTATATATCTATAGGAATTAAATCCTATATTTTTACACCAATAAAACTCCATCAAAAGGTTTGTTGGATAAACAACCATTATTAGAGCAAATACCACCAAAATACTTGCAGATGTAGTTGTAGACCTACTACATGTTATTTTGAGGCCATTTACAAAATAACAATAACTCGCTTCACCACTCCTGCAAATTTGAGAAAAAGATTTTTGCAAGCCAATGTGAAATTATTTTCTAACTAATGAAAGCACTGTCCCTGTATTCAAAAAGTTTACACCTTTATGTGAAATTAGATTTTGGATCTCCCTTACAGATACTAAAATAGAAGTATACTGCTTCTCAAGGGACTCAAGACAATTTCAGAGGCCAGTTTAATCCATACATATGTACACACAACACACACATACAAACTACACACCAACTAAAGCCTTGTCCACAGTAGAAGGGATTAACCTACTAAGCCTTTGTCTATGAATTGAAAAAACACATTAGGTTGCCCATCATAAGTCTGTTCACACATTTTACTCAGCAATAAGAACACTTAATTACTTTATAAAGCAAACTTCAATGTAAAGAAAATTGAATATTTTACTGTATTGCATATTTCTGGAAAAAATATGTAAATGTTACTTCAACTGGCATTCTGCTTTTACTTTTCCTCCTGAAAATAATCTATTATATGTTTCATTTAAAAGATGTGTTTTTGTTGTTGTTGTTGTTAAATGTTTGGAATCCCAGCACACAGATAAAAACAAAAACCTGGGTAGACAGATCCCAACATATCTCTCTTGATTAGCTGTGGGTAGTATAATAGAATGGAAGATAAATGTGGTTTATTCTTAGAGGAAAGATATTTAATTTACATCTTCCATGTCTACCCTTAGCAGTTTGAGTTTCCTACAAAGATTAACAGTGTATCATAACAGGCAACTCAGTCAGCCAGTTGAATATGACTGTTGGAACACTGGAGATGGGTTGCTTATATTGAGGTTCAAAACAAAGGAAATGGCTGAAGCCAAGTGTTGGGCACATGGGATGGATTCCCTGAGTGCAGTGACTGAAAAATCTCTGAAAGGCATGCATAAAAAAAACTCACTACATAAATTTGCTTTCAAATTTCTGGGCATTATTTTAAAATTAACTACTTCTCTTGATACACTATTTTTATTTTACTTACCCTCTTTTAGGTCTGACACCTTGCTTGCTCTGCTAAAACTTAAAACAAAAGAAAACCTTTTTTGTTTTCAAATTAACCCATTTTATCATGGCACATTATTTGTTTTGTCTATTTTCTTCAATCTTGAAACCTGAATTAAAAGGAAACCCTATTTTTAAAGTTACCTACACATATTCTTTTTTTATGTGTATACTAATGGCTGATGTGAGTGGGTAGTGTCATCAAGTTAACTCCCAGGTTAGTTAAATTTCTAGGATATGAAGTTATCATTGCTTAAATTTGATCTATGGTTTACAACATTTTGCTCATTGTGCATTCCAGCCATCTTCAGGTTGTTGATCTAGGTAAACTTCAGGGAATTTTTTTAACTGAATCCATTATTTAATTTAAACCAATTCTTGCTCTGCTGTTCATGTCTAAGGATTTCTTGTTTTGTTTTTATTTAGACCTGTTCAATTATTGCTTGTCCTGTTGTATCTTGTCAGCACTCCCACATTTTTTAAAAAAACAACTGGAAGAAAAACCTTAACCAGCATTGTTGTAAAATTTATTCAGGATATAAAGATACCTCAAAAGCAACAACAAAAAAAAAGAAATGTTCGACAGCCCAGATGATTAGTATCAAAATGTAGTATCTGTTGCAGCCGGGAACCAGCACCAGGCACCAGCCATCAACAGTAGTTCCAGCTAGTTAGCCCTCATCATCTCCAGCTTGCCATCAGTCGTTGCTCCAACCATCTCCAGCAGGCTTTCTCCTCCAGCCATCCTTGCCAACATATATGCAATAAACTGCCCATTTCAAGATAATGCTCTTCAGCAACTACCAAAATTTTCCTTCTCAAGAGAACACTATTATCACTATTTACATGAGCTTGCAGAGTTATTTTTTGCATAGTGCACTGTACAATAACTTTTGTTTATATATTTTTCTTTAGCAAAAATAAACTTGGCAATATATTTTTTATACTGAAGTCTTCATTTATTTTGTTGTTGTCTTCCATCATTCAATATCTGTTTGTGGGCCAATATACCACCCACAACACTGTTTCTGCTGAGTTTGAGTTAGGGTATTAAACTCAATTACTTTTCACCAAATTCATAAAACAATGTTTTAATCTACTAGGCTATTGTCTATTCTGAACCTAATGATGTTCTTGCCTGCCTGCAGTTGATACCACTACTGCTGTCATGCTTGACTGCAGTTACCATGGTTTCTCTTTATTTATTAATGATATTTATTTCTATGCAAGGCTTACTAAAATGGACAGCAGAATGGGAACAATCTATCTACTTGATAGATTAAATAAAGAGTTCTGTTCCAAATTCCCTGATGGTTATCTGGATTGACAGCCACCTGCAGAGGGCTGGAGAGCAGAACAACCAAAACATTGTGATAACAACAAAGATAAGGACAATAATCCAAATGTAAATAACATTAGCTTAACTTTGAATGTTGACTCTGCTGAATTTCTTTTCACTATTTTTTTTTCTCTTCCCCCAGTAGGAATAGATAGGTTCTCCTATCATCCAGTTCATACTCCTCCCCAGTTTTTTTTTTAAATAGGAATTGATGTTTATCCTTGTTTCCTGTTTAGGATTGTGTTTCAAGTTCTTTCAACTCTTTACTTCTAACATCTCTGCCTGAACTTTATTTTATTCTGTAATTTTTTTTTTCCTCTCCCAATAGTAGTTGCCTATGATCCAGTTCACACTTCTGCTTGGTTTTTTGAACAGGAGTAGAGGTTTATCCCCTGTTCCCTGTTTAAGATTGGGTTTCCATTTCCTTCTAAAGTTTACTTCAACTCTATACTTCTAATGTCTATACCTGAACTCTGAAATTTTATTCACTAATTAAATCTTGACCTCTTCAACTCTAGAATTAGCTGTTATTTTTCCTGCATAGCACCAAGAAATTCACTTCTTGCCCTTTCTTATGCTAATACCACTCCACACAGTAATCCTCTATCTTGGACACAAATTTACTATCAATGATCTAGCGATTGAAGCACTTTCTATAGACTTTTGTCTTAGTTAATTACTTTCTCCTTTAATTAAAGTAGTTTTTGTAAATTAAATTATAGTCAGACTCATTACAGTGAGAGATTAGTGCATTGAGTGTGCTGTTTTGTAAAAGATCCCTTTTGTGTTCATATAATATTTTATTTAAATTCCTTTAGGTCTCTCCTATTTTTTCCACTTTGTCATTAATTTAATATAAAAATTTTTATATAATTTTCTCACATAAATATGAATATATTTTTTCATTTTATCATTAATTATTTGGTGATAATACT